TACCTATGACCTTATCGGAACATTTGGGTCGGAATCACATAAACGATAAAGGAAGTTAATTAGGTGAGCTCCTTAGCGTAGCGCTCCAACACGAACGCTTTTTTTGAAGTCGCGCCAAATGGAGTTCACAATTAGCTGCCACAGGCTAACGAGCGTAACAGTGCACACTAGCAACGCTGACTATAGCAGTCGCATCCACCAAGGTTTACTTACTTAAGGAATGGAAAATTTCCTTTAAAAATTGTCTAAAGTCAGTTTCTTGACGTTTTATCAGATGAGAAACTCCTCTGAGTTTAATTAAAGTGATTTATTAACAATCATTGCAATACGAAACAACGTGAAGTTAATAAATGCGAAAAGTCAACTGCAAAATCGAATGCTGCAAGGACCAAAAAAGTTGCTATCCATTAGCATTCATAAATGATCCATAAAAAATTTAATACATTAAAGAATAGCATGTTTAAAATAGATTTTGCAAAAAAATTACTCACGCAGCCTTTAGACAGTGCTGGGATGTGAGCCACGTTATATTTGTCTGCACTGAACGTAATCCGGCTAGAATCTGTGCAAATGGTGTTACAATGAAAGATTCATCTAGAAATCGCTCTTTTGCTCCATGGCCTTCTCCAATGCCGGGACTGGGAAGACCGCCCGACGCGAGCACTGATGAGGTAATTTTCGAACTCTCTATCGACTGCTGATTCATTAGGATGCTAGCAGGCAGAGGACGTCCTGTTCGAACTAGGAGGGATCCTCTTCGTAAAAGAATCGGGTTATGGTTAGGGTAGAGACGACTTGATGCACGTGTAAACTTGGAGTTGAAGAAGGTAGGGAAGGTTCGATTTGTGGTGTTGGACATCTCTAAATTTTGGGGTAGAATGGAACTCACTTCTATGTCTAGCGAATGGTTTCGCAATTCAACATATCTATCTTTCTCAGAGGCATTGTCCTGACCAGTCCGTGTTATGGACTCTAGTTCGAAGGTCACTGGTGGACGAAAGGGCTTCGTGACCTCACGAGGAATTGAATTTCGGGGGGTAACAGTGTCGTCCACCTCAGGTTTGGCAACAGTAGGAGACTTGGCGACATCTGTATCATCGACACTTTCACCAAGTGTCGTAGAACGGCGTACTGAAGAAGTGGTGGAAGAGGAAGCATTTTTTCGCCAAGGCCAGTGCAACCTCCCCACTGACGAGTCACCAGTGCAACCACAAAGGTTCGGCATCGAAATTAGGTAGTCCTTGGGCTTTTAGACGTCTATCGTAGCAAAAAATAAATCGGATGGGAGCATAAAAATTCTGAAAGCTAACATTTAGGCACTGCTTGGAAGAAGACGAATAGGCGGTGGGGGATGAATGTATGCGACAGTGCTCAATTTGCACAATTGCTCACGTGCGCACACACAAACTCATGCAGCACCTAGTCACTAAAACAGATTACGACTAGCACATACCCCAACACAGTTGAGGCGCACGCTGTTAAACACGTAAATGCATTTGCACATATGCTACCCTCAATCCTTCCATCATTGGCGAATTTAGGCCAATTATTTCGCAGCGTTATTTTTACTGGCTGAAGGACTGACCAGTAATAAGAGAGAATTACGCTTACTGGCGATGACTTTAGTTTGAACTACAAAACCGTATAAAGGTAGTTTTTTTCATGATAGGGACATTTCATTTCAAAACCAGTAGTACATGTAAGTTCTAAGGTTTTGAAAAAATTATCTTCGTTGATTAAGAATCGTCGAAACCGCTGGCTAGAATTTCATTGTTGCTCCATCTAATTTCCTATGATGTAAAAACAATTAGACAGTTAGGATTGGATTATAAACGTGCGAAATTATATTTTACTCGCAGAGGACAAAATCTTTACCTTAACGAGCGAGTCTAAATGGCGACAGGAAACTTAAAAGTTTTACCAATGGCTCATAGGAAAGGTAGGAAATTATAAGTAATATCATTACTATACCAGCAGTATATTGACAACCTATGGAGAAAGATAAGTGCAGAGAGTTACGGAGCTTCAGTAGAAAATGAACGGAATTGCGATGTTATACTAGGAATGATTGCAAAAGCCCTTGTTCTACCTATCGTCGTCAAATTAGTTTGAAAAGCCCTCTAGTCACAAGCTTAATGGCAAACAGCAATTACATCCATCAGAGGTTAAAGCTGGGCTCTGTGGAAAGGAAGAAAATCGACAGATCGCGGTAAATAGTTTGCGCATTGTTTTTAAAGATCGAGTCTAAAAATGTGAATCTCCTCAGAAAGGTTAAAATCCTTTTCAAAAGGCAAAGATTTTAAAATAAATGGATTCAGTTTTCTGA